AAAAATAGTTGGTAAAACTAAAGAATTAAGAATCGACTCTTTGAAAAAGTAGAAAGTGCTAGGGATATATTGAGTGATAGAGTACTTTCCTCTACCCCTCTACTTTCTTCTAAAATGCAAAACAACTGCTTGTGCGCTCTCTCGCTCGCGCTCTCTCTCTCTCTCTCTCTCTCTCTCTCTCTCTCTCTGTGTGTGTGTGTGTGTGTGTGTGTGTGTGTGTGTGCTCGCATGCACACATGAGCGTGTGTAGATGGGAACCCAAAAGGGAAAATAATTACACTGGTTATGGGACATGGAAGATTCAAGTTGGTACCAACCAGGAAGTTTCCTCCCAGATGGCCAGCTTTCATAGCACCAGAAGGTGCTACATAGGCTGCTGGGGAGAAGAGGTCACCAAGGGTCTTAACCTATGCACCTGTGGACTATAATAGTGATAACCCTGGCAAGAAATGCTCACAGGCGCAATAGTGGCGTGAACGTTACAGTGGTAACCAACCACCTTCTGATTGGAGTTAAGCCCTGCTCCACAGGAGGGAGCACATGTCTATACTATAAATCTGAGCAAAAACCCATGGGTGAGGAGATCACATGCCCTGGAGTGAATCTAATATCATTATTCTGTTAAATGGGTTAAAGGTCAAACTGTGCTCTAAATTCATATTTCTGTTCGCAAAGATTAGTTCATCTCTCAGACCTGGTGTTGAAGGCTGACGGTACTGTCTTATTTCCTTACATGTAGAAATGTCAAAGATTGGACACTTAGTTTAAAACCTTCTTTGAGAGGATGGCCAAAGGAATAGATGCAGAACATATTGGTTTCAAAGGAGTAACTTGATAAAGAAAAAAATGAGTAAAACTTAACTTGACAAAGAGATGAGAAAGGAGTGACAGAACATGAAACGTAAGAAAGTAAAGTCCAAATGTAAGTAACAGAAAAGAGTTTACCCAAATTAATACTAAAGCACATTATAAATACATGAGTCAAAGCACACAGCAACTCCATGAGTGTTTGTTATACTGATTTTGCACATTTCTTATGTTAGAAGCATTCTATAATGAACTCATTCAGAGTCTTAAGCATTCTGCCTCAGTCGAAACATTACTGCCATCTCTTGTGACATGCTTTATCCAATGTCTGCCCTTTGCTGTTCATGTGGCCATGGCTCCAAGTGGCTTGACTTCTTATTTTGTGCCTTCTTTCTAGAAAGGAGAAATCTGTATCTGCTGCAGTACAAAGCATCAGGAAGGGAGAACAGGCTTTCTGTCTCCATGGTCAAAAAAATTGGAGGACCACACTGTGCCCAGTTAATGCTGCTCCTATGTACATGTGTTTAGAGCTGACCACTTAGAATTGGAAAAGATATCAAAGGGCTCATCCCTGGAGAAAACCAGTTCTCTCTCACTCAGCAGTCATTGACTGCCTATAGCTCTTCATCTAGAGATGGGGCCTTGTGAAATCTCACTGATCCATGTTGACATGTATGGCTATTAAGTAGATCTTTAGGCATCTTGCTAATATTGCTGAGATGTCCTGGTACAGCATCCTTGTTGTGTCTAGAAGGCACTGTGTCACAGCAGGCATCCTTTTTCTCTAACTCTTACAGTCTTTCCACCCCCTCTTCCACAGTGTTCCCTGAACCTTAGGTTTAAGGTTTGGGACACCCAGCACCAGTTAGTACACCTCAATTTGCAGGTTTTACAGTTTAATTAAAAAATAACTAACTCTCTTTATTTTGTTCTTTGCTTTTGTAATCAACTTATTATCATTATATTATATGTAACCAACATAATGTTATAATGTTTTCTCTTCAACATATTAAATGGGCTTTTTTCTTCTATTTTTGTGGTGTGTGTGTGTGTGTGTGTGTGTGTGTGTGTGTGTGTGTGTGTGTGTTATGTGTGTGTGTACATGTGAAAGCCCCAGGTTGATGTTGGAGATCATCCTCAATTGTTCTTCCATTTTTTTCAAAGGGTGTCTTACTCAAAGCTAGAGTTTACCAATATGGCTTGGCTAGTCTTGTTAGTCACTTCACTCTGAGGGTCCCCTGTCTCTGCCTTCTGAGTGCTGTACAACACGGCCACCATACTTACACTTGGCATTTACATGGGTTCTGAGGATCCAAACTCTGTCCTCAGATTTGTATGGCAAGCACTTTAACCACCAAGTCAGCTCCCCAACTGAATCCTGAGAAGCGTACCATTTAAAGGTTTATATTGTGATGAAATTAAAACCATTACTCTCTTTTTTGATGTTTCCTTTTTTCCCCTCAAAATAAATGACCTACATTTCTCAGACATTGGAACATTGACTGTCTTATTGAAAAAAGAGCCTTTAAAAATTATTTGAACAGTGGATTTGCATGTAATTTGTTAAGAGGTCAGTAATTTTCCACTGGCTAGCACTTTGGGTCACATTTGGCCTATAAATAATGTTTTCTTCACATGGGCCTGAATTTACATTGCAACACCTTTGCACCTCATGACCAGGTGTGCACAGAGAAGGCTGCTGTTTCCCTGAGTAACGTAGAAGGAGGTACGTGCCATTAGCCTCTGCGAGTGAGTGACAGACCAAAGGAAGTATTCTCAGAGAAGGCGACCACACATGTGAACAACTGCTTTGATCTCCACCATCTGGCTAGGCTTTAGAATTATGCCAGGGAAAGTGGGCAGGTTCACCAGGCACATTATTGTCTCCTCAGTGCTGTTCCCACATCATCTGTTCCTAAGTAAGGTGATGGGTTACTGTTTCATATTCTCAGTATCCATACCACTAATCCATGGTAATTTCTGTCAAAAATAATTGAGTATAGCCAAGGTTTATAAAACACAGCGAACATCTAAGTCTCATTTGGTTCAGACTACTACTTGAACTTTAACAAAATGATGTGGCAGCTGTTTTCTCAAGAAACTCACATGAGAACTGTTTAGAGCAGTCAACTCAAATAATAGCATCACTTCCTACAGATGAAGTCATTGAATGCAAGGGGCCACACTGTTTGCTATTTTGCTGAACTGGTTGCAAGACAGGATTGGATGAGATAGCTAGGTGATGCTCTTTTGAGATTCCATATGGGCTCTCCCCATTACTGCAAACATGTGTTTGCAAATATCTGTTACATGTATCAGTGATGCTATAAGCATGCAGTCATGTAACTAGCATAGACAATAATTAAAATGATTTTTTTTTGAGAATCAGTTCTACACTAAAGATGCTGTCATCTTATTTCTTTCCACAGTGTTTACTACCATATCCCATATCTGTCAGTGACCCAAGGTCACTGAAGTTGATAGAGAACATGATAGTAAAAACTAAGCTTAAATTATCCAAGTACTAAAATCATACCCAGCTATGACCTTTACTAACTTTCTTAACTAGATAATTGTACAAGTGGCATTCAGACAGTCCCTGCATGAGTCATTCCCTACGCCATCCTCCTAAATATTTGAGGTTGATTCCATAGGAGGATTCTTACAGAATTGATCTGCACCAGGAGCAGGACCAGGGTGTTCTACCTAGCTTTCATAGCTTTGCAACTCACATACACCCTTCTCATGATGTTTTCCTTTCTGCCCTTCTAACATGGTGGTTCCTGGGATTTCAGACTAGTTTGCAGGTAGATGAGACATATTCGGGGTGGAAATTTTATTTACATATAAAATGTATCTACTTCCTATCCACCCTGCCCTCTCCAAATGATAGACCCTCTATGATGTTGTTTGAATCTTAGATGGTCTTTTAATTTAAAAACAAAACAAAACAAAACAACCCAGAGCCAGATATCAGAGTGAAAGCTGAAAGATCAGAGAAGCAGAACAGCCAGCCACTAGTTCTTACCTCTGCAAAATCCTCAGCCTAAAGAGAGTTAGTTTCTGTTTCCTCACACCTTATATACCTTTCTCTGCCCTGCCATATTACTTCCTGGGATTAAAGGCATGTGTGTTTTCCAAGCAAAGGCATGAGATCTCAAGTTCTGGGATTAAAGGTGTGTGCCACCACTGCCTGACCTCTATGTCTAATCTAGTGGATGGCTCTGTCCTTTGATCCTCAGGCAAGTTTATTAGGGTACACAATATATCACCACACTATACTCATAAGTTCCACACATAGGACTCTATCAACTACTAATAGGGAATGCATGAGAGAAAATCGTGTCTATATTTATATACAGACTTTTCTTATTCAGTAAAGACAGTGTAACAATGACTTACATGCCATTTGTATTGAGTTAGATTACAAGCAATCTAAAGACAGAGCATATATCAGATTGTGGGGTATGTTATGTACAAATATTGTAGTGTTTCTTATAAGGAAATTGAGCAGTCATAGACTATGGTCTCTGTCAGAGGTTCTGGAAATAATAGATACAAGAAGACAATAGTATACACACACACACACACACACACACACACACACACACACACACACACACACACAGAGTTTCCTCATTTCAGATTCCACAGTTCTAAGCCTGTCTTACCTGTATTCCTCGCCTGTGAAATGGACATAACAACTGGTGGCAGTTGATGGGAATGATTTTGGACAGATTTAGTATTGAGAGATGTTTTTATTGGCATTAGTGAAGCCTGTGAGTCTGGCCTGCCCTAGTTAACTTGTACAAGTACAGGTGCTTGGGAATAAGATCTCTACCTGTAAAAGTTAAATCTTTTCTGGTTATTGCTATTGGGTTGTTTTTTTTTCCCGAAGTTGGCTTTTCCAAAGCTGATTAGTCTGCAAATAGACATATGCTTTAGGTCTACACTTGTTAATTTACCTTGGAAAAAATCAAGTCACTGTAAAGTCTGGCGATGTAGTTTACAAATACTTGGCAAAAAAATGATCTAATTAAAAGCTTCTCTTAGATGAAAATCTTGGGGAAATGATCAGTATCAGTACTGTTTTTCTTTTCATGATCTGTGTGTACCTTGGTATACGTCACTTCTCATGTCATATTAAAAGTGTGTTGACTGTCTGCTAATAGTTCATCTCTTTCCTTCTACAGCCTCCAAGTCTGTTATAAATAATATGCTACGGGACCCTTCTCAGATTCCAGATGGAGTTCTAGCCAACCAGGTCTATCAGGTATTAATCACAGCTGTTTTCAGTGGCGATGCTGTTATCTGCCTAGCCAAGTAGAGGATTTTAAACCTCATTTAATTACTGTCATCATAAACTATCACTGAGGTCAGGGCGCACCATAAATGGCAATGCAATATTTTCGAGGAGAGCATTTTACTTTTTAATAGCTTGCTTTTATAGTAAATAAAAAGCATGCAATTTTTGTTTTCTGTGATTAAATCTGAATAGCCTTTTGATAGCTTTCTTTTGGGTGGTGGGGGGGGTGAGGAAAGGTAATGACTGCTTTTAGAATATTTACTGTGGTGGGTTTGTAGTCACCCTAGCCTATAACCCTTCTCTTATTTGTCCACAGTGCATTGTGAACGACTGCTGTTATGGACCGCTGGTGGACTGCATCAAGCAGTATCCTTCCCCATAAAATTTTAGGTGCACAATTGACGAGCTCAGAGTCGATGGAGGAGATGTGTCTAGCTTTAACCTGACATAAAGTTCTGCTTCACAAAACACATTTCATCCTCTCCTATTTTACATTCCATCAACTGGAGGGTCACTGCAGACCACTCTTCTCTGCCGCTTAGGAAAGCTCAGCAAGGCCACCGGAAGATGTCAGTTCGGCAGGTGCACATCTGCATGCTTATTTCACTGCTCGGTTTCCAGTGAGCCTCAGGTGCAGAGTCATTAGGCAGGGACCACACTGTCTTGGAGTGTATCTAACCATCCCAGTGGCCAGTTTTAAAGTATAACAAAGTTCCATTTTCAATGGGCCAAATTCAGTTGAGTGTTCTAGAATAAATTTTGAACCTAGACTTAAAGAATGGTGCTATTAAAATGCCACCAGAGACTGCCACATTTTAAAGGGCAGTAGACTGTCTTTGCTTACATACTGACTGCAGTCTGCACTCTCATTTGGATTCCTAATAAATGTTTTTAGAGAAAAAGTGCTAATTTTTCCTTTGGAACCGACTTTAAGACTGTGAAAGCTGATATCCAGTCATTGGTTATTAAAGCCACTGAGGTTCCTAAGGAGTTAATGCTTACTTCTTAAAATTAGGCTGGATGAATGGCAGTGATTTCAATAGAGATTATTGATAAATGATATGGCATGACAGTGAGAATTTTGATAACATGTTAGGGAAAAGAGTACTTTCTTAAACAATACTCATAATTTTTGGTGGAAATCATTTAAAAACACAGCCTTCCTGGGCTAGATTTTCATAGCAGGGATGACACAGGGGTCAGCTCTGACTAAGGGATAACCAGTCAGAATTTTTGTTGGATTCTCTTGCAAACGGAGTGTGTACGCGCACATATCCACACATGCACATATGTGTGTGCATATCCATACATATATGTGTGTATTCATATTCATATGTGCACATATATGTGTGTGCATACCACATGTGCATATATGTGTTTGTGCGTGTGTATATTTATTTATATCCTTCTAGTTTCACAAAGGCTTAGAGACACTTAGGAAAACATTTTGAGACATGGTTTTGCTCTATTATCCAAGCTGTCCTTGTGTTCCCAATCCTCCTGCCTGCATTTCCTTTGTGTTATTGCGAATGTGTATTTCCACACCTGACTCAAGCTTTTTCAGAAGAAAATTACTTTCTTTCCTAAAGACACAGTTAAGATTTGGCATAATCTTTGAACAAAGCCCTCTCACAAGAATATTCAGTAACTAGGGTGTAGCTTTTTATATATGCATTCTCTGATCTGGTCCCTTAACTAAAATGAACCAAACCATGATATTGTCAAAAGCTGGCTTTTTTTATTAGACTAAAGTGTAACTATGCTTCTATTTTTGGTGTGAAATTAATGGTAGTGTTAAAAGTTGTAGGAGGGCCAACCTCACATTGCCTCAGTGATAAACTTCAGCACATTTATATAACAACTGACACCATCTCAGAGTGTCTAGGGCTGAATTACATGCTAATTTCAAAGCACATAAAATAGTTAAAAATCAATTTAAAGTTAAGGTTTTAAAAGCATAATGTCTTTTGAAGGATTGCATATTGATTTTAAATATAACTCTCTAATTATATATGCATGGACTAAAGTATGAAGTCAACTGCTTTGTAAATGCCAGGAGGCTATTTTTCAGTAATAGTTGAGATGCTTACGGGAAACTCGATTGCTGTATTGCTGGCGAAGAAAATAGCTTGTGAGGTTATTTACAAGTTTTGCCCCATGGTCACTACCATACATCAATAATAGGTATCCTTATAGACAGTGTCTAAGTGTTTCTGCTTATGGAGCATTATAAATTCTGTCTGGAATATTTTCCTTGTATACATATATATTTTTTTGCCATTATTCATGTTCTCTTTTGGCTGTGTATTGTCAGTAGGATTTAATGGACTATATAATTTCAATTGATAAATATAATGATGTATGTATATAAATGGTATTCAGTGACTAGATTCCAATTTTGGCAGTTCCGTTATGCTTATTACCAGTAAAAATTACTGCTTTTATAAACTTTATTTTGTAGACCTTGCATTTTTATGTCTATATCAAACAAAGCATAATCAAGAAGTATATCTTTTGAAAATTTAAAATTGGTGATTGGAGTAACTATGCAAAATAAAGCAGGCTGGGGAGTTTGTGGAGAGACTGATTGTATCTCTGCATTGAAATGGTGTCAGTTTGTAAATAAGCTTGCAAAGATGTTTCCTAGACTGATCATCAGGAATTATTTTATTTCACACTGGATGAAATGATTGGTTTTCTTTGTAAGTGAGAAATGCTTTTCTGTGTGGTCCTGATCATTGTGGTAATGTTTGTTTGCTTTGCTTACCCTCACCAAAGTACATCAGTTTCTTACAAAGAAAGCACACATTTGGTAAATGGAATAGATGCAGAACCTCCTTACTCCATTATGAAAATGTTACCTGTAGCCATTCGTGTTTGGAGAATAAAGCAAAGTGGTCACTTGCTAAAATGGCACACCAGTCCCAGTGGTGAAGAGGATGTCTTGCCAGGGTGCTTTGCTTCTCCTTTGGTGCCTGCTGTGCTTGTTTGTTTATTTATTTATTTTGTGTAGTATGTGCCCCGCACCCCCATACCTTTGCCTCTGCACCTCATTTCCACCAAGCAAACTCCGTGAAGAAGCAGCCACTTGAGCTCACCCATGTGGGACTCGAGGCCACAGCTGTGAGACGAAGGTCTGAAGAGAGCAGCCAAGGGGGATGAGGACTCAGGAAGCATCCGGGGCTGTGGCTTTCTGTACTGTACCATCAGTAACCTCAGGTCCATGATGCAACGTGGTAGATGTAAATAATTTACAACAACAAAAGTGAGAGCACATTTACGTGGAAAGAAGTAAATAATTTAGTTTGAAAATGTGGGATACCCTGGTAATGAGAGACCATTGAGACTTAGAGATCAATTGTCTTCAATAGACTCAGAAAATGTGTGAAATTCTGCGATTTCAAATTTTTGCTTGCTTTTTTTTTTTATACCTAGTTAAAAAATTAAACAAATGCAGTCATGTGCATTGGACGAGAAACAAAAACAGAACAGGGCAGGGGCAGAGATGGTGACTTTGGCCTTATTTCGATCATGGACAAAAGTGATTGCATTTCTTGAATTAGGAGATTTTAGTGACAGTCACCTGTAATTCATTGATAAAGGGTAGGGTAACTTTTTTTTTTAAAACTGGTAATAAAGAAGTTACCTTTTGCCGGGCAGTGGTAGCGCACGCCTTTAATCCCAGCACTCGGGAGGCAGAGCCAGGCGGATCTCTGTGAGTTCGAGGCCAGCCTGGGCTACCAAGTGAGTTCCAGGAAAGGCGCAAAGCTACACAGAGAAACCCTGTCTCGAAAAACCAAAAAAAAAAAAAAAAAAAAAAAAAAGAAGTTACCTTTTGATTTAAGTTGAATGCTTGCAATGCATGATCAGAATAGTCATCTCTGGTAAGTCAAGGAGTGCTACACTCGTGTTGATGTGGGGTTGGGTGGGGTGGACAATGAAGGAGGTGATCCTGACTGTTTCTACTGAGTGCCTTCAATTGGTCTGAAAGACCAGAATAGTGGAACACTTTTTGAGACTTAGAATAGTCTCTTTCTTCAGAAAAGAAGGCAAACTTTGCCTCTGCCTTCTGTATTTATAAGCCATAGGACCTTGAGCTCAGTCCTCAGCATTTCTAAACCTTGCTTTATATGAATGAGAAATGGGACTAAGATTATCTACTCTTGGAGTTGTTGTGAAGACTCAAATAAGATCTCAGGGTGTTTAGCCTAAAGGTTTAGGCTATGCATTTAGCTAAATCCTTAAAGATCTAGCATAAAGCATTTGTGGTCCTTAGGAAGCATTGACTAGTATTATATAATTCTGATGCTTTTGGAAAGGGGTGTGATCAAACACATTCCTTGGAGAGAGCTCTTTCCTGCCTTTACTTACTTGTTTTCCTTCATTGCTAGAGATGGACCCAGGTTTCAAGAGTGCTGGGCAAACACTGTACCACTGGGTTGTACTCTCAACCCTCCCCCTTTGCGTTCCCACACATTTACTAGCTTCCTGCGGTTTCTTCTCTGAGTCCCTTTCCCTGTCTGCTAAAACAAGCCTTTTTATACTTGTGAGGACCGAATAACATATTTCAATCACATGATATGATGTCTGCCATGGAGAAAGCATTGGAACAGTTTATATGTTCCTGTGTGCATCTGTTCGTGTGCATTTGTATTTGTTCTTGTGCTTAAAAATATAACACACACACATACACACACACACATCCACATACACACAGGCAACAGCCTTTGTACCCCTGAAAGTGAAGCAGAAGGTGATGACTGGCAAATGGATCTCACAAGTTTCTAGGACTCTTAAGATTGGAAACTGTTGGAGCAAAGACTGGTTAGTTACTGTTCTTTCTTGTATTCAGTGAGTGTTTAGTTAATATGTACTAAATTGAATTGGAGGGCTGTTTTTTAATACAAATTAATGAATATTTTAAGTGATACCTCTATTTTTAAAAGAAATTAAAATCACAGTGATTTATAAATCGTTGTTGGCCAAAATATATGTGTTATAGAAAAATTCTGCTGCCTTATTTAAATGAGGGGAAAATGCATGTAGAAATTTCCTTCCTCAAAGGTGTAAGCTGAGTAGGAAGGCTTTTGTATAGTTACCATAACTCTCCATTTCATCTCAACATGAAGGAGAATTTTCCTGATAGTTCAGCCCTTCTCTGTGTGTTGCCTCCTTAACTAAAATGTCTAGTGCTATTGGCTATGAGCATGAAGTCCTGCTGAGAGACTTACTTCTGAAGAAAAACCTGTCCTTCCTAGGTAAGTGTTGCTCAGGTTCTCTGGCATGTAGTGTCATTATGGGGACTTAAAGATAGAGTTTTCAAATCTTCCACCTGCAGGTAGTATGTACTGAAGGGAGAGAAGATGATGATTGATGCTCTGCATGGTGTCTTTTATTGATTTAGACCTGAGCAGGAGCTCTCTTACTCAATCCCCTATGTAGACAGCACATGCACGGGCTTGCAATTAATATTTTATAGAATAAGTGGCTGAAAAAATGCTTTAATATCTGTTGCAGTATTACTTTTGGTGTCATGAGATATTAACCATAATCTAAACCTTATGAGAGAGAGAAACAAAGAAATATTGTCTATAAAATGCTTTATATATTAAAGAGAATACTTGGAAAAATTCATGTTAGGTATGTTTGTCTTTTCATATAGGAAAGTCCTGTTATTGAAAAGCAAAATATTAAGCTCTTATTGTTTTCATGCCCGATATTAATTGCATCATAGATTTAGTATGATTTTTCAAAATCCCCCTAAATGTGCATTCATAAGTGACCCAGTAGAGAATCTTACTGTACAGTGTTATTTCTTTTCAATGTCTCTTCATCATTATAAATAAAGGCTGGAAGGACATCCATGTAACAATGGAGCATGGAAACCATAAAGCACCCAACAAAGCATTCATTTCTTCCCTCTGTTGGATCTGTGATAACTAACAAAAGATCCACACCAGTCGTGCTAGTAAGCAGGTTCATGCAGACACTGAAGAACCTTTATAGTTTAGTTTTAGGGACAAAAAAGGAAAACATTCCATTACTTAATTTTATTATAAAATGGACAGCAAATTAGCCAAGGAAAGTCAAATCCATAAAACCTAGAACAGATGTTTTCATACTGCCCAGGCTTTTTATTCCACTGGAGAGTGGAGAAGGATGTATTGCAAGATTGTTGGTACTTTGAAGCTGAGAAAGATCACAAATATTCACTAATCAGGGTTTAAGAAAGTTGATAAATTAAGAAAATGGTCTCCAGTTAGTGAATTTCAACAGTAGAAACAGCCAAGTATTTTCATATAAGAAGGGCAACTGAATTCTGGAGCCTATGGAAATAATGTAGTGTGGGAATAAACTTCCTTTGAAAAATGCATAATGCTGAATGAAATGGGTAACAGCTCTGAGCTGTAATAATATAGTTATAATATGTGCCCACGAGGCACTGTAACGTGTGTTTCAGAACAATAGCTTTCTGATAATATTATAAAGTGTGTGATCTACCATTTATTCAGCTGCAGGTCAATGTGGACACAGCCAAGTCTAATTTTTCTTTAAAGTCACTAGCTAAGTAGTTGTCTTTTCAGAGCTGATTGGTGTTATTCTTTGCCACCATCTGTCTGTGGACAAGTCAGGCCCCCTCGGGTCCATTTCTTTGTCTAGCCTAACTTCTGAATGCTTCCTCCCTGAGGACTAGCAGACTCCAACTGGAAGAAAGAACAGAGAGTTTAGATGTGACCTAAATTTAGGTCTAGAATCTTAGATAACTGGAATTGAGTGTGTTAGACTAGATTTACTTCATCTGACAAATACCAGTGCTAGAATATGTTCAAATAATTGTTTCCAATTGCACAAATGTACAGAAATATTTAAATATTGAGTTTGATGGGCCCCACATACTCCTTTGTGCTCTGAGATATACAGGGCATTATTTGTTGGAAACATACCTGTTTTGTGAGTTTTCTTGAAGGGAATAAGAACAAATGCCTGTTCACCCTAGATAGGGAACTGACTACAGACCAAACAGTTACAAGCGAGTTGTAATCCGTGACCCTTTAAGTTTGCCAGGGTTGCTTACAAGAGCATGAATGACCCAAAGGCCGCTGCATCCCAGTACAAGTGAAGATTCAGGAAAGCTTCATCCTGCAGTTTCCTGTACAACCTGTAGTCACACCATGAGAAGGAATCTCTTCCTCTCTTAGTATGACGTTTCAGACTCCCCCTCTCTGCATTCATAAGTGACCCAGTAGAGAATCTTACTGTCCAATGTTATTTCTTTTTCAACATCTCTTCATCATTAGAATGAAGCCTGGAAGGACATCCATGTAATAATGGAGCATGGAAACCATAAAGCAATTGTTTACTGCATTTGTGACCTTGACCTTGTGAATCTTGCAACTTCGCTAGCTCATTAAGTTCCTTTAGCCTCCTGGGCCTTCTAAGGCCTAACTTCGATGTCCTCAGCCCCTGAGATTCACGGGACCTCAGCTGATAATGCCAGGTGTCCTGTATGAGCCAGTCCATCAGGGCTTGACTTTCTCACCCCCTTTGCTCATGCAGCTCTAGTCTCAAGGAGGCATAGTGATTGTATCACAGTTTCTCTGCTTTGCTGCCATTCAGGATGTCATCCATCCCATGTCCCACAGCCTTATGAACCAAGCTGTGGGTGACTCCTCCATGACTTGTTTAAAAGCTTTCATATTATCCCAAGCAGTTCTGAAGCAGAATGCTCTTTGCTTGTTACAGTTTCCTGTACTAGACCTTCTGCATGCTGAACTGGATGTTTTCTTGTCCTCTGTATTAAAGCTGGGACCTGAGCAGTGTTGTCTATGACTTCTATCTCACTCTTTCCCTATCTTACTCTTCCTACAGGTTCCATGTTTATTTAGATCGTTTAGATCCCAGGAAAAGCTTATTCTAGTTTCTTTTTTGCTTTGCATACTGACAGCTACAAGCTAACACATCCATCCCATCTTTCATTTTTTTGTGCCTGTGTCTTTTCTCATTGTAACTCCACTCTTCCATGGTCAGGTTCTTTCTAAGTGAACAGCTGAGACTCAGTTGCCTGTTTTATAGTCCAAAGCAACACCCCGGCAACAGCCTGCTTTTGATCCTGGTCCATTTGTGCTACTTTCAGACATGGCAATGTACTGTTAAGTTTACCAGCCATTTAGGGAACAACCCCATACTCATTCGAGCATGGCAATGTACTGTTAAGTTTACCAGCCGTTTAGGGAACAACCCCATACTCATTCGAGACACCATTCATCAAGGGAGTATGTTACACCGTATAACATAGAGGAGGACAGGTACTGTAGGACTCCCCTGAAGATACTCGCCTTTAAACTGGCTTCGATATGCTTGCATGTCTCACCACCTGTTTCAGGGAGCATGGACCTCCCACTCTGGGAGGGAAAGCAGCATTCCATACCACCTGGAGAAGGGTAACCATTTCAGAGTCACCGTCTGAGGTCAGACTCAGTTGTGGTTCTATCTCCCATTGCAGAGACTGTATAACTGCCGCTCCCTGCAACTCATCTCAGATTCTGGTAGTCCCGGTTAGGGTACCAGTTTTGCTGTGTGCCTTTGCTTTGTGTGACTTGAACAGACATTGACCACACAAAGTAGGTCATCAGTGACACACAAGAAGGGCTTCCACCCAAGTCATGACTAAAGCAGTGAGCCACTGAGTTTATTGAAGTTACTTCCAGGCACTTGTGACTCAGAGGCAGCTGCATCACAGAAAAGTCCTCCCCACTGTGATCTCGAAAGCTCTGTGCTAGAGCTCACTGTATGACATGCAGTCAGTTCCTCTGAAGGGAGTCTCCTCTACCTGGCCCTTGGCCACTGTTTCTATAAGCTGGGGGAGCAGCTTTGGGGATCTTGCAACTTGCCGAGCCTTGTGTATTTTGTTAGCTTTCTGAGTCTCAGAAAACTGTCTCCTCCCTCGAGGACAGATGTTTCATTTTCAGTTCAGAGGAAATAGCCACCTGACAATACTCTCAGAAGATGCCTAACTGATGTTAGCAATGAAGGAACAGTAGTAAGTTAGGACAAGTCCATACAACAATTGTAGTTATGTGTAGACTATTTCCTCATCAGAATACAAAAACTTGTTCATTTATTCTATGCATTGTAAGTCTTCTAATGCAGCATTTGCCTTATCCGTTTGTTTATGGTTAAAACTTGAAAATCTAAATCTTGTATGAAATATTGTTGCGGAATTATTGTTCTTTTACCTTATAAATAACTCCTTAGTGATTAATTAGCTGCAAAGTATTGCACCAGGTAAATTTAAATAGATGGTTATTTTAAAGGAAGTGTGGGGAAATCTCAGTATATAAACATCGCTAATCCAACCATATTCTTTCTTGCTTCCGTGTCTGGTCCTTGAATGTTGTTGCAGACATTGTAAATGTTGGCCTCGTTTTGATTCCTTAATAGGCAGAAATAATTTCTCTTTCTCCCTCCACCTCTCCCTTCCTCCACTTCTATTCTAGACTCCTTTTACAAAACAGTTTTTCTTTTGCTTATTGCTTAAACATTAATTCTTTGTAATTTAGAGCTTATGACTTCCCTTGAATCATTTTATTCTGTTGTAGAATTTCCACCCATTGTATTTTTTCTGACCTCTACTTCTCACCAATAGAAAAGAAAATTAAGTACTGTTTTTATAGCCTTAATTCTGTCTTGAATTTCTTTGTCTTGTAACTATTAGCTGAGCAGTTTCAGTGATGTAGGAATTAGCCAGGCACCCTAGGACGGAGTATTTGTGGGGGAGGGTCTTGAGAATTGAAAATATACATTTACTCATATGGATTTATCCTGTCTTAAAAACTTGTCTGTTTCATATTATACAAGTATTTGAAATAAGACAGTTAGTTTTAATTTCTCCAACTAAGAAGTGATATTTATTCCACAAGTTAGCTAATGAGTACGATTGTAAGAAGGAGACATACAGCAGTGAAGGTCCTGCTTTTGTAGAGCTCTGGTCCCTGTCCTGGAGAAGTGGGGTTCTGTCTAGTGTACCCTACTTAGCAGGCATCTGCTTAGTATCTTCTCAGTGGAAGTAAAATATACTAGTGGTGATTTGTACACTGAGTTCTTTTGTTGTTTGTTTAGTTGTTTGTTGTTTTTACTTGCTTTGTTTAAACTTTGTAATTATGTGTACATATGCAGGTATGTGTACATGTGTGCAGGTTCCCACAGAGGACAAAGGCTTCAGATCACCTGCAGCTGGAGTTACAAGTGGTTTTGAGCT